ACTATTTGGAAAGGTACAGGAAAAAACTGTGAGGAGATGGATGAAAGAAAAAGGTGAAAATAGGGGAAAGAGGGAATGAATGTAGCTGTAGTCAAAGGATGAGAGACAGGAGAGTGGAGACAGAAGGAATGAGAAAGGCTGTGAAAAAGTGCAGGGTTTACCTGGGGAGTCACGTGTTAGGCAGGTTATAATGTGTCATAAATCCAATGTCTATATTTAGTAAATGATTTTTGGTATCCAGAAGATTGATCGAATGAAGTTCAGAGGCTTGCCTGTGAAAGGTATTTTGAGGATTAGAATTGAGAGATTGGAGAGAGAGACCCTCTTATCTCTCATCCTTTTTCTACAGCTACATTCAACACCCCCCTCACCTGTCTCTCACCTATTAACCACCTCAGTTTACATTTTAACTGACTGGCTTTCTTGCATACATACTGGCCTCTGGCTGCTTTACCACTCCATTCTGGAAGAGCACAGACCACCTGCAGATGCTTCCTCAGCCTGATGAAAGGCAGAACTGTACCTAAACTCCTGGTGGCCATGGGCAAAATTTTAGTATAGGGTCCCCCTTCACCAGAGATGATAATAATAATAATAATTTTCACCATTTTTGGGCTCCCTTTTTGTCTAGGCCCCCAGGCGGCCACCTGGTTTGCCTATGCCTATGTCTGTGTCCGGCCCTGACGAAGGGTGTTTGTGCCCTAAAGCTTGTTAAGAAGAATTTTTCCAGCTATTTGAGTTGGTCTAATAAAAGATATCAGATTTACCTAAAGAACCTTGTCTGCCTAAGTTTGTGCCAAACTTTTAAGTGCAAGTCTCATTGACTTCAAGGGGATTAATCGCCTGCTTGTAGTTAAGTGTGCTTAAATGTTCTGCTACATAAGGGGGAGTGCTGTCTACTTTGAAGCATGGAGCCCTGGTGACCAAGAAAAAAGCCTCCCTAAATGTTGAACTATATATAGTTGTTGAAAACCTGGAGATATTTAAATTAGTTTGAGAGCTAAATTAGCTAAAGCACTGCAATGATCCTGCTGTGCTTAGGTAGCACGGGAAGATGGAAAAAGTGTCCTAACAAGATGTTCTCATCTGTAATTTCTAGGATGAATGTTTTCTATTTATTGAAAATATTTTATACTATGGTCTCTCTGTAACTCATTAATATGAAACCTTTACTATATTATGATTTATTTATTCTGCTTTTAAGTGTTGTAACTGAAGTCTCTTCTAAACACATTTACAATGAATAACAGTAAAACAATTCACTATAGTATATCTGCTGAGCAAGTATAGAATAATGCAGTAAGACTATTCTCCCATCAAGCCCCCCCAAAATCCCATAGCATGTGGTTGAATGAAACAGATTCATGAATAGATGAAGATTGCTTGTGCTGCTCTATCCCATATAAGCATTCTCATTGCTACAAGATGTGTCCTGGGGAGTGTTTGCTGTTAGTATCTGTTAGGTAGACAGCAGCTGAGACTAACCAAAATCTTACAAATGTGAGAACTATTTTTGAAATTAGCTCTACATAACTTATCTGTATCCCTACAATCCTTCTGCTACAAGTGGTAGAAATGTAATAGATGTATGCAAGGGAGCTTTTTTTGATTCCTTGCCTTGAGCAAAATTTGTTAATGATATTCATTCAGATACAGTATGGTACAAATGGGGCACATTAAATGGTTTAAATTAGGTCAAATTGAATAATTGAATTTATTCTTTTACTTAAAAACAGCTTAATCAGCTTAGAGGGCTGGAGTCTGAAAAAAATAGTTTAATTAAATATTAATTGAAGGTTAATATGTTGAGCTTCATTGTCATCGTTTGCAGCCATTTTATTTATGCATCTTTATTTTTTCCAGTTCCAGCTACTTGGGGATGAAGTTTATCCATTCTCCCTTGATGAAGAATTTGACTATGACAATGTGGCATTGACTCCAAAGTTCTCTGAAGCTGAGATGAAGTCCATGATAGATCTGTCTGAACAGAAGAAAAGGAGAATAGACCTCAAGTCAGTACTATCTGAAGACTGAGTCAGATATGCTTTGCATTGTTTATCTGTGGATTAATGTTTTTTAAGGAGAAAATCTAGGTCCCTCTTCTGTATTCATAGAAGGCTGTTTGGCTGTGGAATCAGGATAGTTCTGTCAGAGAACCTGAGCTATGTTCATACAATCTATGCAGCTGGATGCACCGAAGTAGCTGCTACACATTATTATTTAGATATACTACTATACTGCTTAGGAGTTCCACACATAGTGATAAGCCATCTACAAACGAACAAAAAGATGGTCCCTTTGTTCAAATTGCTTACAATTATAGCATTGCAGCTGCACAGACAACAAAGGAGGATTCCTTTCTCTCTCCTTTCCTTTACATTTATGTATAAAGACTTGCTTATGTCCTCAGTTGGATGCTGAAATTTGGATTTACCCCTAAATGTACATGATTCCTGCATATATCAATTGCTTTTAAATGACTTATTTGGGTCTTTGGCCCCACTTGCAGCTGCTTTGTTCCTGTCACCTAACAGCACAAAACACAACAGTGCCTATAAGGGCAGCCAAGGATTCCCTTGTTGAAACCTGCACTGCTCTAGACTGGAGCTGTCCAACTCCTGAGCAGCTAGGGGCTCTATGCAGTGGGTTCCCCCATCCTGTGAGCCCTCCAGACCTCAGGGCTGTGCCACCCCCAACCCCAAGGGACATGTTGCAGAAGCTGGAGGAGGGAGAGGGATCTCAGATACCAGTGACAGCAGCAGTCAGAGAGATGTGGGGAGTGATGGCTGCAAATTAGACATCCCTCGTCAAGATTATTTTTGTTGAAATTATAGTTCCTTAGGGCCATTATTGGTTGCTGGGAGTCAGAGCAGCTCTCAGGCTATTTCAGCTAACATTTGGTACTACCTTTTCCTTTCAGCCAGCCCCTCCATGGTTTCAGAGTTACCTCAGAGTTTGTTCTGGCAGAGGATTCAGTCTTTAATTTATTTCTCTAACATAAGATTTAAAGGTACAGGATCAATGATTAAATGCAAGGAAGATTTTTAGATTCTCACTGTGGCCTCAATTCCACAGAATAGTAAGTATTCCTGTGCTTTTGGTAAAATTCTTCCTGAAGCTTCTCTGAATTAAATTGGTAAAACTCATATTTTTTGCCAGAAAAATGTCTTCAGAGAAAAGAAACAGGTGGTAGTGATCTCAGCCATTACAGATGCTTGGCTGGCAAGAATTTAGACTGTAAATACTGCTTTATTTTATATTTCTATATTTTTTAATTCAGAAAATTGTTATGAGCTGTTTCACAAGTGGCATATTAGCACCATTTGAAATTCAGCAGCTTCTGGGAAGATGAACGAAAAGTGTAGCTCCCAGGCTAAGTACAGAGAGTCAAAATGCCTGAGGCTGAATTGATTCAATCTTCCTAGGTTACTCTAAATTGCACAGATTGAGCCAATAAGCAAGTGAACAGGCATTCACTTCCAATTCTGGAAACGCAGCCACATGCCTGCAGTGGACCAAGACAGAAGCTGGGGGGTGCTAGAGCATGCCTCCCTGCTGGGGTGGAGCAGAAAGCTTGGGCCAAGGTTAGCTCACCTGCCCTACAAAGGTGGGGAGGGCGGGGAGGGTTCAGGGGATTGCAAAGCAACCTAGGATGTTGAGGGATTGAGTTAACTTGAATTTGGAGGGGATCTGGGACAGAAGTCAATAAACTGATGTAACCTAAATTAGTTAAGTCTGCTCCATCCAGGTTTATATTAAACCAGTTTTGGCCATTTTGAAAGTGGTTTATGTGCACTGAACTTCTGTTATGTTACATATTTGAACTGGTTTCCAGTCACTTATACTGGTTTATGTGTAATTTCTTTCCCTAGCCCCAGTGTCCACAGCCTTTTAGCAGACCTACTAGAACTAGAGGGATGGTTTAATCAGAACACTACCTATGACCCTGAAAGTTTGTTGAACTTGAGATGTTATGAATATCATTTAATCAGAAAACATGTGACAAGATCTAGTCCTTAATTCATCCTATTCTGCAGGACATTCATTTTATTTTGCATCTTATATGGGCCTGCGTATAAAATGGGTGGGTGGGGGTGCTCTTCAAGCTAGATGAAAAGGAATTCTGGACAGGCTGCAATACAGAAAACATTGAATAGAATTGCATCAAACTATGTAAGCCTTAAAAACATTAACTAGAACGTAAGCACAGTGAAGCTGTGGTGAAGAGCTCACCTGTAGTACATAATCCTCTGTTTAACCACAGAAAAACATTGCCCAAAATTTCTTCATCCTTTAGACAGAGAACCACCTTGACTACAAAACAGACCCTTGCAGGTTTGTGGGTGGATTCACTTACTGTGGGTTTTGTTTCAACATTACATCTGTTTTATGGTAGAGAATGTTGCGGCAAGAAAAATTATGGGTCTGTCCTGTTGCCATTAAAGTCAGTAATAATTCTTGCCCAAGGTATTATAATGACCCAGGGGGCCAAAATCAGTGCTGAACTCTCAGTGTATATACTTTTAACTCCATTAATAGATATGGCTTATATTTTAGGGATGAATATAGCTACCCAGTTCCCTTTCTTACAGACAAGTGGTTCTCCTACCAAATGCTCAGAGTACATATTATGTTCCATAAATGTTATTCAGTCTTGTCAGGACATGATTCAGTATAAAAAGAACACATTTCATTGCATGGTTCCCAACAAAAGCTAAAATCTAATGCTAGTCTTATGCTAAATTTAAATCTTTTGCTAAGAAATGGGCAAATCCACTTCTGTTTACACTCTTTGGTGTGCCTACATGTGCATTTAAGCATAACTAAATTTAACACGCATTAAGTGATTTTTGGCAGATGTCTACATGTGTAGGGACCTGGAACTAAAGTTAGTGCACTTGGCACTAATGTTAGTGTACTTGGCTTTAAAGTTATCTAAAGCTGGTGCCAAGTCCCTGCAGCCCTGCTATGTGCCCCTAGTGGCTGGGCAGACCTGGCACTAAGTTAGTGCTGGGTCACATCTACATGTGCATTCATGCGCTATAACTAATCACACCTAACTTTGAGATCTGCATTTGCAGGTATCAAATTTATGCATGATTAGCCTAATTCTGCCGTTTTTAATGCACATTAAGGGTGCACACATGTAGATGCATGTCCATAATGCACATTACATTAGGCTAATGTATATGAACTCGTCTCGTGTAGACACATCCTTTGTGAGTTAACTTTCCCCTTTATGTACAGAGATAAATATGATAATGGAGATGAGGCTCTGTATTTTTGATTTTCTGGTCAGCTCATCTTATTGATCCACTTAGATATGGTTGACTTGTTTATGTACTGCTTTTTTAGTTAGCTGTTGCTATTTTCCTTCCCTTTTTGGTAGCATCTCTCTTAGATATATATTTCATTTATACATTTAATTTTTTTTATTATGAACCACAGGTCATATGTTATATGACTGAAGATATACACAATATACTTATACACATACATTATATTTGATCTAATATATGGGACACACATTATATTGATACATTTGTATATCTATTACTTAATTAGTATTGTTCAACTTGTATAAAAAGGGCTTCGACCTGAAAGGTAGATATATTTTACCCCTGTAATTAGCATTTTCCATAGTATCTTAAACATGTCCACCAGGAACAATTTCCTTTTTATATGTGAGAGGCAAAGATTTCCTAGGCTGGTATGTTTTATTGGCCCACCTGGCCATGTCTTCATGAGATGCTGACTGTGCAGTAGCTCATTACTACTGCTCAATAGTGTTGCATGGCACAAAGCACGATGCAACAATACTGCGCAGTAGTAATGAGCTACTGCGCAGTCAGTGTCGCCTTAAAGCCATCTAGCGATTACTGCTCAGTAACTGTGGTTACTGTGCAGTCATGTAGTACATGTGTATATGAGTACTAAATGACTGCTCAGTAACAACTGTGCAGTTAGCGTCCCGTGTAGACATGACAACTGTGTAGTTGGGTTAGTTAGACAAACTTTTGCATGCAAGACCTTCTTCAGGTCCTTTTATTTGTGACCATTTGTACCCTTCCTCCAGAAAGGTAGTTTTCTTTTCTTCCAGAATGGATTGACCTCTTTGTGACAAAAACCACAAAAGGAACAAGAAATTCATCAAGGTTTTCCTTGGAATTTTCCTCTAAAATATTTCATCAAAGAATGGGGGTTGTTTGCTTCCAAACTGACAAGGATTTTGAATTGCAAAACCCACAGATCTTGTTGGATCCATCAGAAGCCAGAGCTAACTGCAGGGGTGCTTAATGTTTGTAATCTGTGGCTGGGTCCCACTAGGCTCCATACTCCAGTGGAGTCCACAGTGCAAAAAGAGCCAACAACTTACTTCTTTTGGCATTTCCACTAGTGCAGGGACGATGGAAGAATGGTGTGGAGAGACTAATTATCTCTCCCTTCTACCCCAGTGATGGATTCTGAATCCAAGGGAAATATCTTCCTGGCTTCTATGGGACACTTTTATACTTTCTTTTTAATTTGCTCCTGCAGGCAGTGTGGATAATACTGCCTAGTGTTATTCCTTATGGTGGGTGAGGAGGCAGAATAGTTGTTCAGAATGGCACAGTGAAGTAAGGGTAGTTAAGCAATAGGATAAACATAAGGCAATAAAAGGAGATGCAGAATAATCTCTGTCTAAAATAGAGTTCGTATTTTGCATTAGCAATAAGGTAATTTTATCTAATAACTCAGGGTACTCATTTCTATGTTCCTAACAGTATCGAGATGAAGCCATCTCTAGGCTGGCAGGCACTAGACAAGTATTTTAGAGCCACGTGAGGAGAAAGGCCATGAGGCAGTATGTGAAAGAGGATAATTTGATTTTCTGGCCCCAATCAGCTGTTGAAAATTAGCAGGACTTTATTGAGGATCTGGTCCTTTAGGCTCATAGAAAGCAGCTAGGACCCTGATATTTAGCCTTAACTGCCAGCTTACTGAACTAAGCTAATTCTTGATGTAATTGCATGGAATCCAGTGAGATATATTTGACCTGTTATCTTTTTGTGATAACATTTCAAAAAAGAAACAATAAGGGAAAATGTAGAATCTTAAAGTGTTCGATTACCAGTCCCACCTGGAGCCATCTGGGACTGTGGGCCTTGTCACATGTTCACTTGCAACAGTTGCAAATCATTGCAATGGTAGCAACCCATTAAAATTAGTGTATGATAACCCTTTCCTGAAAGGAAACAACTTTGTTTGAATGTCCATTTTCTTGCATTTGAACTACACTTAGTAAGTGTTAAGCTGAACATGTGACACTACCCTGTTTCTCTAACCATGTGTCCACTTCAGACCATTAGCTTTGTTACATTTAACAATGACACCTCAATCCATTTAGGTCAGTTGTTTTCCTAATAAACATAATGTTGTTTATAATGGAGATTAATACACATTTTGAGAGGATAACTTGTAAGTTGTGTTAACAGCTCCTGAGGTGAGGAGAAATGGTGGTAAAACACTAACATACAGTAATAATGTCCATCTTTTTATAAGTTTGTGGTTTTTAAAAAAAAACTTTATCTATGCAAAGATGAGAAAAATATAGGAAAAATGTGAATCTTACACAGACTGTATTTCAAAAAGCCACATCAGCTTTTTCGTGCTTTGAAAAATGATATTTTATTGTAGAGGATGATAATCTGAATTAGTGAAAGACTTTGAAAGGTTCAAAACATGGGGCCAATTTCAAATCTTCCCAATGTAGGAATCAACCTGGAACCAAGGGGCATCTTTACACATGTGGCACTGGGTGCTTTAATTGGCAAGCTGTGCTAAATAAAGGTGTCCACGTGTCATGTGTATCAGTGTCCCCATGCATCCCCGTGCTGAAAAATTGGCGATGGGTCGCTTTGAACTAAAGCTCATTGAACGTGTTTTATTTCAAAGTGTCCCATCGCTATTTTTTCAGTGCAGAGACATGTGATGCAGAAGGCTGCTGAAGCACTTCAATTTCCAAGCTCCAGCAGACTCAGTTAATCAAGTCTGTTCTGATGCACTGGATTTCCAGTGCATTAGACCAGGCTCTGTGCATGTCTGTAGGAGCCCAGGGTACCCAACTGCCTCATGAATGGCACAGCTTGGTTAAACAGCAGCCTGGAGATCAAAATGTCTTCTTGACTAGCAGACTGAAATGTACCCCACTGCCTTTTACATTCATTTTTAACAGCAGGTTACTGAAAGCCAACCATGGAATGAATCAGTTCAGTTTCACTTGCCAGGGGGAATCTGTATAAGGGACTTCTACTTTCTTCAGATTGCTTCAAAAAGATTCCTACATCTCAGTGGGGGTGTTTGCTTCCATTGGTCAAAAGCCACCTGCAAAAGGTTAGCCACTGCTGCTCTTACAGCTTTGAAGCTATAGGACTGGATTCAGAATGGCAACCAGAGGTATACCAGGGCAGCTCTGTGCCTGGGGGGAGTTGAGGGGAAGGGGAGGGGGGCACAGCTAACCACCAGCTGTGGCAGCAGCTGTTTTTA